CCAATTAGAGAAATAGAAAAAGACCTCTCACAGCAACAGAGGTCCATAGCAGCCAAAAGAATTAAAAAAGCAGAGGGGGATGCATTTGCATTGTTACCCAGGAAATACATTTACAAATACAGCATGTTTGAAAAAGAAATTCCATGAAGTAGCACCTCCCCTTACCTCGGGCCATGCACTTTGATGTTTTTCTCTTCCATTCTATTGTACTTCATTATTTTTAAAAAGGCTGTCACCACTCACTAAATTGCTTTTATGACCCACTAATTAGTTTTGACTTTTAATTTGAAAAACAGTGTTCTAGAATACTCTTTTTAGAATATTGGGAGTTAAATAGAGTTTTGTGTACTGACCTGGGACTCTAACCATCATTTATAACATTGTTTCACTGGAAAAAATATATCCTTATATCCTAAAAACTAGATTAGAAACCAATTTGGGGAATTCAATCCATCTGTAAACTGGGGACTGCCAAGGTCTAAATCAGGAACATTTTTATATTAGGAGTTCATTTAGACCAAGACAAGAAAAAGCTGACAACCTTCCTAAAGTAATTCCAGTACAATTGTCTGCTTGGGAACAGAGCTTATCAGGAAGTAGTCAACCTTAGCATTTATGCAACTTCTTTTCCCTTTGAAAAAGAACTTAATTTGAATTTTCAAAGACAGCACTGCCGTGATTCATTTTCCCATAACATGTGGATTGGAATTTACTTTAATGTGTTTGCTCAGTTCAGTTCACTTCAGTAGCTCAGTCATGTCAGACCCTTTGCGACCCCATGGACTGCAGCACACCAGGCCTCCCAGTCCATCACCAACTACTGGAGTTTAAGAAACTCATCTCTGTCGAGTCGGCGATGCCATCCAATGATCTCATCCTCTGTCGTCCCCTTCTCTTCCCCCACTCAATCTTTCCCCAAATCAGGGGCTTTTCAAATGTGTCAGTTCTTTGCATCAGGTGACCAAAGTATTGGAATTTCAGCTTCAGCATCAGTCCTTCCAATGAATACTCAGGACTGATTTCCTTTAGGATGGACTGGTTGGATCTCCTTGCAGTCCAAGGGACTCTCAAGAGTCTTCTCCAGCACCACAATTCTTCAGCACTCAGCTTTCTTTATAGTCCAACTCTCACATCCATACATGACTATTGGAAAAACCATAGCTTTGACTAGACAGACTTTTGTTGGCAAAGTAATGTCTCTGCTTTTTTTTAATATGCTGTCTAGGTTGGTCATAACTTTTCCTCCAAGGAGTAAGCGTCTTTTAATTTCATGGATGCAGTCACCATCTGCAGTGATTTTGGAGCCCAAAAAATAAAGTCTGACACTGATTCCACTGTTTCCCCGTCTATTTGCCATGAAGTGATGGGACCAGATGCCATGATCTTAGTTTTCTGAATGTTGAGCTTCAAGCCAACTTTTTCACTCTCCTCTTTCACTTTCATCAAGAGGCTCTTTAGTTCTTCTTCATTTTCTGCCATAAGGGTGGTGTCATCTGCATATCTGAGGTTACTGACATTTCTCCTGGAAATCTTGATTCTAGCTTGTGTTTCATCTAGCCCATTGTTTCTCATGTTGTACTCTGCATGGAAGTTAAATAAGCAGGGTGACAGTATTCAGCCTTGACCTACTCCTTTCCCAATTTGGAACCAGTCTGCTGCTCCACGTCCAGTTCTAACTGTTGCTTCTTGACCTGCGTACAGACTTCTCAGGAGGCAGGTCAGGTGGTCTGGTATTCCCATCTCGTGAAGAATTTTCCACAGTTTGTTGTGATCCACACAGTCAAAGGCTTTGGCATAGTCAATAAAGCAGAAGTAGATATTTTTCTGGAACTCTTGCTTTTTCAATGATCCAACGTATGTTGGCAATTTGATCTCTGGTTCCTCTGCCTTTTTGAAATCCAGCTTGAACATCTGGAAGTTCTCAGTTCACGTATTGCTGAAGCCTGGCTTGGAGAATTTTGAGCATTACTTTACTAGCGTGTGAGATGAGTACAATTGTGCGTTAGTCTGAGCATTCTTTCGGATTGCCTTTCTTAGGGATTGGAATGAAAACTGACCTTTTCCAGTCCTGTGGCCACTGCTGAGTTTTCCAAATTTGCTGGCATATTGAGTGCAGCACTTTCACAGCATCATCTTTCAGGATTTGAAATAGCTCAACTGGAATTCCATCACATCCACTAGCTTTGTTCATAGTGATGTTTCCTAAGGCCCACTTGACTTCACATGCCAGGGTGTCTGGCTCTAGGTGAGTGATCACACCATCGTGATTATCTGGGTTGTGAGGATCTTTTTTTGTACAATTCTTCTGTTAGGTCCCTACCACTTCTGTCCTTTATTGAGCCCATCTTTGCATGAAATGTTCCCTTGGTATCTCTAATTTTCTTGAAGAGATCTGTAGTCTTTCCTATTCTATTGTTTTCCTCTACTTCTTTGCACTGATCACTGAGGAAGGCTTTCTTATCTCTCCTGACTTTTCTTTGGAACTCTGCATTCAAATGGGAATATCTTTCCTCTTCTCCTTTGCTTTTTGCTTCTCTTCTTTTCACAGCTATTTGTAAGGCCTCCTCAGACAACCATTTTGCTTTTTTGCATTTCTTTTTCTTGTGGATGGTCTTGATCCCTGTCTCCTGTACAATCACGAACCTCTGTCCATAGTTCATCAGGCACTCTCTTATCAGATCTAGTCCCTTAATTCTATTTCCCACTTCCACTGTATAATCATAAGGGATTTCATTTAGGTCATACCTGAATGGTCTAGTGGTTTTCCCCACTTTCTTCAATTGAAGTCTGAATTTGGCAATAAGGAGTTCATGATCTGAGTCATGAATTTGAAATAACTTGAGACAGATTATTGGTTCTCAAACTTTCAGCATCCATTCGTGGAAGATTTCAATATAATTACAGAACAAAATGTAATGTTATCAACTTTGACTTGAAATGTTATCAACTTTGACTTGTAAATTAAGAGTGGGGGTTTTGGAGGCAGACTGTCTGGACTTAAAACCCAATTCTGTCTTATCGAGATGGCAATTAAGTAAAGTAAAGGAGGTGGAACATGGGCCTGTCTGGAGGAAAGGTAGGGGGATCCAGGAAAGCAAGGAAGTCGAGGCAGGAGGAAAGCTGGTGTATTTGGGGGAGCAGGCATGTCCTTCTTTGGGGAAAAGTAAACCAGAGGTGAACCAGAGACTGTGCACTTGAAGCCACTAGAAAAAATCAAATAATATGAAAATTTAAGAAGGATCAATCAATAAGCAATCTTTGAGTAGTCAAGAGTTAGCACACGTTTTAAAGATGGCCAGGTCGCCACCAGAAGAACCAGTGATGAGGACTGTTCCGAGTGGCTGACAGAGTCCCATGGACAGAGGAGCCGGGCAGGCCACGGTCCACAGGGTGGCCAAGCGTCAGACATGACTGAAGTGGCTGAGCGCGCACGTTAGGACATCATCCTGCGGTGGGAGAGGAGGTGCATGCAAGCAGGCATGCTCAGGCGCTCAGGCGTGCCCGACTCTGCGACCCCACGGGCTGCAGCCCCCGAGGCTCCTCTGTCCACGGGAGTCTCCAGGCAAGGATACTGGAGCGGGTTGCCATTTCCTCCTCCAGGGATCTTCCCCACCCTGGGATTGAACCCGAGTCTCTTGCACCTCCTGCATTGCCAGGTAGATTCTTTACTACTGGACCACCTGGGAAGGCCCAGAAAAGGAGGTAATGAGGTATTTTTTATTATGATTATTAAATCTTCTACACAACAACAACCAAAATACCCACGTGCATATAATTTACTTTGATAAAACAGAAAAGAAATTTAAAACTCTCCAAGTGGAAAAAAACGTATTTATCTGCAATGAAAGTGATCATAACAGAATCTGCATGGTTTATGCACCCCTGAAGCAATGCCGCAGCAAATATGTCTCAGGCGGATGCTTTACCTGCGAGACTTTGTGTCTGCCTGAAAATGCCTTTCCACGCTCTGCTCTTTTCTTGGGAAACATTATGCAAATCACTTTACAGGTTTCTGCTGGTACAACTCAGTAATTGCCACATGTTCTGGCCTGAATCCCTCAGACTCTCCACCCTTCCCGAAGCCTCAGACTCTAGGTGGAGTACAGCTGACCCAGACCCCAAGGAGAAGCAGATGAAAAGGTGCAACTTAAGAGCAGAAGAATAAAAAGGAAGGGTTTTGAAAGTTCCCCAAGTTCACAGTTCCTATGTAAGACCAGAAGAAGGAAACGGCGACATCTGTTACCCGTGAAGCGTGATCACAACCCAGGAGCACTCAGGAAATGGGTATTTCTTCCCGGGGCTGCTCTCTGAGCCGGTGTTATTGGCTTTTAAAGAACACACACAGAGCAGGGAGTTCATACGCTAGCCATTAACCAGAAACTTGCTTTGGAGCTAACTAGGAACCCAGTCAGATTTCCCCCTTTTAATTCAAATATGAAGAACTAGTTACCTAGGAAGCCTAAATGGATGATAAACACAACATTCAGAATTGTGGTCAAAGAGGATCAGACAGAGATCTTCTAGATGGAGAAGGGGTGGAAGATTGAGGCGACGACAGTCAGTCTTCCAGCCCTTAAGTTAGATGGTGAGTCACGGGAGTTTGTGTTATTATTATTAGGTTTCGTTATTTACGTACAGAACGCATACGTTCTTTCACATGTGTCAGATATTCATAATACATTTTTAAAGGAGAAAAATGTAAGTTGCCTGAAGAAGGGATATCTAACGCATTACCTGACAGTATCACTCCATTTCTGAAAACCATTAAGTTATATCTTCCTTTCTTACCCGTCTTTCAAGTTCTTTCACAACATTTCTGTGCTTCAAAAAAAATACTATGCAGGCTACAATGGAAGAGCAGGGATTTTGTGTCAAAGCAACTCACGCTCAGTACGTATGCCCTCTGAAACCCTCACAACCTTTCAGCTGTTGACTTTTATTATTGTGGCCCTTCTTCCCCCCTCACTGGTCTCTGGGCACCGCCTTTGGTCAGCACTCACAGAAAGGTACCCGCACCCTGTCAACTCTGGTTGGGAAAGCGGTGTGTCCCGTGGTCAGACTGGCCCCACGGAGGTCACCGTTTCTGCGCCAGAAACGCCACAGCCTCTTTCCTGTGAGCGAGTGCCCTCCCTCTCGTGCTGACCCGAGGCCCCGGAAGCGCAGCGCGGGCTGGCCCCAGAATGCTGCTCACCCAGCTGGGAGAGCCCCGCTCTCGGGGCCTGAGCCGGGCTGACCTTCAAGGACACGGCTTGCAGGTGGAGGTGGTGACTTGCAAGGTGACTTGCTGAAGGAAGTCTTACAGAACCTAGGCAGAGATTTGCACTAAGGGCTGGCTTACACCGAGATCCTGCACAAGGACTGGCTAGCACAGTCCTCGTTGTAGGCTGACTCCAATAGGGACACCAACAGTCCCCCCATTTCTGTCTGCTGGTTGCGCCTCCATCAGCAGATGAAGTCTACTCCCTTCTCCTGAATCTGAGCCTGCCCTGGAATTGACCTTAATCAACTGAATATGGCAATTCAGTAAAAAATTTTTTTACTCCAGTAAAAAATTTTAAATAAAAGTTCAAAAAATATGTATTGTAATAACCCATAATGGAAAAGAATCCGAAAAAGAATATTTATATGTATATATGTATATATCCGAATCACTTTGCTGTGTGCTTGAAACTAATACATTATAAATCAATTATACTTCAATAAAAATTTATATTAAAAAATAGAATTTGGCAGAAGTAAACTGGTGACAGCTCTGGGTCTAATCTACACAATGCCTGGCACTTTCTTTCAATCTGCTAGAAGCTCGAGCTTCCTCGGGGCCCAGATCCTCTGGCAGAGACCCCACGGCGGGGGCAGAGACAGAGAGGGAGGGGCATGGGCGGGCTGTCCAGTCATCCGGGCTGGAGCAGTGGACAGGAGAGTGACTGTCCCAGTTTCCCACAGGCGTCGTAGATAGCAGACTACCACAAACTGGAAGGCTTAAAGCAACAGAAAATTTATTCTCCCACAGTTCTAGGGCTTCCCCGGTTGCGTTAGTGGTAAATAATCCACCTGCCAATGCAGGAGACTCAGGAGTCACAGGTTTGATTCCTGGATCGAGAAGATCCCCTGGAGAAGGACATGGCAACCCACTCCAGTCTTCTTGCCTGGAGAATCCGAGCACAGAGAGCCGGGCGGGGTACTGTCCATGGGGTCACACAGAGTCAGCCATGACTGACCCTGCACACACACAGTTCTAGAAGTTACAAGTCCAAACTCGGTGTGTGTCATCGGGGTTGGCTCCTTCTGGAGATGCTGAAGTGGAATCCATTTCCTGCCTGTCCTGGCTTCCGCTGGTGGCCCACGATGCTGGGAGGCCCCTGGCTGACAGCGTCATCACCCAGCCTTGACCCTCCCTGCCACTGCAGGGACAGACCCTCCCTGCATCTGTCTACGTGTCCCCTTCCCCTTCTCACAAGGACGCCAGCTATCTTGGACGTGAGCCCACCCTCCCTCAGTATGATCTCATCTTAACTAATTATATCTGCAAAGATCATTTTTCATCAAAAAGTCACATTCTGAGGCTGTGGGTAAATGTGGATTTGGGGGAGAAACGATTCAACCTAATACAGAAATCATCTGGAGCATTCCGATCCCAGTGAGACCTTCAGATACTACAGCTACGTGAGAAACTCCAAGGAGAAGAGCAGAACTAAAGTTAGTTTTTGTTTTGCCTGCCCAAATTGCAAAATCATAAGCAAATGAATGTTGGCTGTTTTACAAGCCACTATATTTGGGGGTGGTTTGTTACACAGTAGAGATAATCAGAAGAGTCCTTTTGAAACAAACATTGGAGAGGTGATTTGACCGATCACCACCCTGAATTACTAAGTACGTGCTGCTAATATATAAACAAAATTGCCAGTGAAAGGAGAACAGTGAGATTTTTGTAAAATGCTATAGCAACCTTCAGGAGATGTCCTACATTTGATTTCATTTAATTGTTTTTCTTCACCCAGGGGTTTCTGAGACGGAATTTCCTGTTTAAAAGGAGAAGAAGAAAAAAAAAAAAATGAAAGGGGGGTGGTCTATGTCTCAGAATGACTGTAAAATGCTGAGTAACATGGAAGGAATGTGAAATGCTCTGACCTTTAAAAGAGAGGCTTCTTTCTTAGGAAGGACAGGAGACTGTATTATATTTGATAGCCCCCGGCAAGAGAAAGGAAAGGAATTGACTGTGCTGCAGCTGAGGTCCTAGTCTGTAAAGATTAGAAGGTGAACAGACTTGAGGTGTGAAAACCATGAGGTCTGACCCTGGCCAGGTGTTCAGTAATTCAACCTCATATCGCCCAGGAAGAAGAGACTTTCAAGCCTCCATCTTCTGAGAGCCTTGGGTCGAACCGGATGAAGGAAATGACGGGCTGCCGATTTTCCATAACAACCTCCCAAGGCCATGCAGGGTGAGAAATGGCAAATGTCAGTCTCTCGTGACCCTAGGAGCCGCAAAGCCTGCTATAAAACTGTTGAGTAATAAAATACAATGGGGCGAGGGGGAAGTTATCCAAAAGGGAACGGGTTGTGACGATCAAGCCTACTGGGAAAATAATCATGAATCTTCATGGAGAGACAAGGACATCGCAGACTCAGATGGAAGTCAAAGCGTAGGGGTCCTTTCCACTTATTAAGCATGAGCATCAGGAAAGCTCCCTGTGCCATGTGGCGTTTCAGATTCCTCATTTGGAAAAGGGGAATAAAAATGCCCTACTTTCCTCAAAAGGTCACTCTGAAAAACATGAAATTATAAATATGAAACCAGTTTGAACACTCCAAAAATGCATGACCAAGATCAGGTTTAATTATCATTATTCAGCATATTTTTAAGCAAGCTCATGGGACAAATATTTTCTGCAGTCCTTATTTCAGATATGACCGATTAAAAGGAATTATTAACGAAACCTGTATACACCACTATATATAAAATAGATAATCAACAAGGCCCTACTGTATAGCACAGGGAACGCTACTAAATATTCTGTAATACCCTATATGAGAAAATAATCTGAAAAAGGATGGATAGATGTGTATGCATAATGGAGTCACTTTACTGCACACCTGAAATGAACACAATATCGTAAATCAGCTTACAATATTTTAAAATATTTACAATATTTAAATATTTAATTTAATATTTGATTTAAATATTTAAATAACAATATTTTAAAATATTGTAAATACTGAAAATTTGTTGTGCTTAGTCACTCAGTCATATCCGACTCTTTGTGACCCCATGCACTGCAGCCCACCAGGCTCCTCTGTCCATGGGATTTTCCAGGCAAGAATACTGGAGTGGGTTGCCATTTCCTTCGCCAGAGGATCTTCCCCACCCAGGATTGAACTCACATTTCCTGTGTCTCCTGCATTGCAGGCACATTCTTTACCCATTGAGCCATGCTTCAATATAAAATAAAATTTTTTAAAAGAAGAAAGAAAACCTGGAGAACAGTGGTGTTGACGACAGCCACAGTCTCGTCGACAGAATGTTGAGCTCCTGACTTCTGACTTCCCATTTTCCACCCTGTCCAGGAATTTCAGGACTTTCTTCTGCAAGATGCTTCCTCTATCCCCTGCTCTCATGTATTTGCAGCAATGATAACTATTTTCAAAACTTGGGCTTCCAGTTAAAGTCTTCCAGGAAAACCACCCTCCTGAAATGCCCACACTAGATTCAACTGTCACTTCCGATTCCCTGTCAAGTCAAAGGCAGACCACTGCCAAGACAAAGCTGGTGTCTGGAGCATATGCTTTCTCCCTGGAGTCTTGATTATCAGCCAGTTTGGCATCTTACGAGATAATGAAAAGAGAGACTGAATTTATTGTTCTCTGCCACCACAAAGTCTCTTGACATTTAGATTTCCAAGTCAATCTAAAAGAAATTAAGTATTAAATTCTGCTAACTATGCACCAGACAACTTACAAAAAAATCTGTCATCCTTACAAATATCTTCTAATATTGATAATACTACATCTTTTTCCCATTTTGCTGTGCTTAGTTATCAGTCATGTCCAACTCTTTGCAGCTCCACGCACTGTAGCCTTCCAGGCTCCTCTATCCATAGGGATTCTCCAGGCAAGAATACTGGAGTGGGTTGCCATTTCCTTCTCCAGGGGATCTTCCCGATTCAGGGGTGGAACCCAGGCCTCCCACATTACAGGCAGATTCTTTACCATTTGAGCCTCCAGGGACGCCCATTTTCCCCATTGGTAAATAAGAAAATCAAAGGTCAAAGCTTTAGTAACTTGAATAAGGTCACAGACCTAAGATGGAACATGAATCTAGGTGGTCTGACTCAGAAATGCAAGCTCCTGCGGTTACATAACACCTTGTTTGGGGCTTTCATGTAAGAAATAGAGGATGGGTGATGAAGCTTACACATTCCTCTGGCACTTGGCTTGCTGCCGGCTGTGCTGTTGTGGAGGAGCATACATGCCGTGGCTTGTCTGTGTTCTTTTGGTGGAAATTCAGTCATCCAGGTTTTGCCTCTTTTGCCTATGATATATATATGAGTTCTCCTTTTTTTCTCTTTTTTTTTTGGTAAGCTAGCCCAATTCATACTATGAGTCATTCTTATTAAATCTAATGATTTCTTCAGTGATGGTTCAGTGAAAGTCTAAATTCCTAAGTATGACATTCAGGACTCTCCATGAGCTGGTCCTTTCACAACTCCTGCCTCATCTCCCTTCATTCTTCCTCATTTGTCCACAGCACCAGGCAAACCATATTAAGAACCACAGCCTGTGGGGCCTATGTCTACATATTTTCTTATGATGCATTTTTCACATAGAATGATGTTCCCATCCAGGATTAATTATTGTCAATATTTCAAAAATCTTAATAGAAATTAAAGAGTTACCTGACATAATAACTTTCTAGACTAACTAAAATATTTAGTGCTTTGGCTTTTGGCCAAAAAAAAAAAAAAATACTCAGTAATGGAATATTTATTACCTTGTCTGATTAGAAACTCTGATTACCAATACTACATGGCTTTTGCTATCAAATTCAGAAGTGCCTCTTGATAAATGCAAATTTATTTATAATGACAAAATCTTTTCGAAAGCAACACGGGTTGGGGAGGGGATAGGTGATAAAAGTGTGGCTTGGTGATAAAAAAAAATTCCGAGGAACCAGTGGATCTACAGTGGTCTTTACTGCAGCACATTTTGTTTTATTAAAATTCTACCTATTTTTGGCATCTTATATAAATGCTTCTTCCCCCATGAAATCTTCCCCTAAATTGTCAGAGACAAATAATCCCCTTGCCTTTTGATCCTATGACCTGGTGGATATGATGCTCTTACTTCTCTATTTTCTTGGGCCTAAGCTGGTATCAGTTGTAATCTGCATCATTATTCTATATACCAAAAAAAGAGAAAAATACTAACAACTAAACTACGGCTACTACACTGACTTTAACATGTGAAAAAGTACAAAAAACTTCATGTTACAGACTCATGAGATGCAGCGTGAGTACTTTGTGTTTTATTTCCCTTACGAGCTCATTAAGAGGGAGCGACTGTCTCTTCTTTATTTCCACTTCCTCAGGACCTTATGTGTGTGTGTGTGAAATTCATGCAGTTGTGTCTGACTCTTTGCAACCCCATGGACAGGGTAGCCCACCAGGCTTCTCCGTCCATGGGGTTCTCCAGGCAAGCATCCTGGAGCGTAGCCATTTCCTTCTCTAGGGGCTCTTTGCAATCCAGGGATTGAAACCGAGTCTCCCTATTCTCTGCCTTATATGTGCTATATATTCAATACGTGTGTGTTATATTGAACTCTTAGTTTAGAATTGTCTAAAAGACTCCCAAAGCTGGGTGACTGTTAGGCTCGTAGTGAAATTTCATGGACTGTTTCTGTTTTTTGCATGTACTTAGAGATCAATCTAGTCTATAAATTAGACAATAAAGTTAATTAGATAATAAAGAATCTCAACAGACTAATTAAACAATAAAGAATCCTAACAGACTTCTCATCTTCATATCAGTTAGAACTAAACATTTTCACCAAAATTCTGTTTGTTAGATTTCTATTTCGAGAGCCTTTTATTTAACTTGGGGTATGGTACAGAAAAATTCGTATTTACTTTTGAATATTGGGCCAAGGGAGGAAAAGCATAAAGAAGCATAGGGAAAGAAGAAAAAGTTCCCTCAGAACTGAAACCTCTTGTCTTTGTACTTTCAAGATACCATGGTGTTAGTGAACCAAGGGATGTTTAATTAGCTGGATAGGGGTATGGTTGATGAATGATACATCAGTCATCTATTATTACAATTCTGCACAACAGACTACAGCTAAACCTCTGTGCTGCTAACAATACACATTTGTTTAGTGCACATGGGGTGGCTGGGTGCTCTGCTGACCGGGGTTGGACTTGCCCACACATCCGGGAGTCAGCTGGTCTGGGCAGCTGGGCTGGAGGGGCTCTGCTCCACACCCGCCCACCCTCTGCCCGGAGCCGCCCACCCTGCGCCCGGAGCCACAGCCGTGTCCTCAGGGCAGCTGGCAGAGCACACAGAGCAAGCAGAAATACACCAGCTTCCTAGACCTCAGCTTCTAACTGCGCGCCACTTCCCTTGCCTCATTCTACTGGCCAACAGGAGTAACATACCCACACAAAAGCCACGAGGCAAGCAAATACCCTCTCTCTTTACTACAGGACTTGCTAAGTCACATGGCGAAGGGCATACAAGTACAGCCATGGGTGAAGAACTGGTATCAATGCTGCAACTCCCCCCACGGAATAAATGGCATCTAACATGCAAATACCGATTTAGATTTACAAAGCACATTGTTTACTCGCTAAGTCCTGTCCAACTCTTTTGTGACCCAGTGGACTGTAGCCCGCCTGACTCCTCTGTCCATGGGATTTCTCAGAAAAGAACACTGCAGTGGGTAGCCATTCCCTTTGCCAGGGGATCTTCCTGACCCCTGGGGACAGGAAGGGATTGAAACCGAGTCTCCTGCATTGGCAGGTGGATTCTTTACCATGGAGCCACCAGGAAACCCTAAATTGGCAAAACAGATATAATTATCCCTACCCTACTAAAGCAAAAAGGAAACTTGAAGAACTCAAATAACTTGTGATACATACCAAGTGATTGGGATGGAATTCAATCCGAATAATCAAGTATATTAAACTTACAAAACTTATTAAAAGCATGGAGTTAAGTGATTCGGTAAAGGGCTAGGTCAATTCAGAAGAACAATACTGAGTTTTTTATCTTCAGGAACAACCAGCCACACCCAGAGTTTCTGGGGAGTCTGCTCCAGCTGGTTGCTAGGCTACATGCATAAATAACACCTGGGGCTTGTTTTCACACAAACACATTAATTTGTGAAGAGATCAGGCTAAGAGTCCAAGGAATGATGAAAATCCAAACTGGTGACAGCACAGAGATGCAAACTGCATCACACACTGATAAACTGCATATGGATTTTCTGTCTTGAACTGATTGGGGAAAAAATAGTTTGAGGTGATGAACTGTAACATGTTGGAAGTAATTGGTTTAGTAAGAAAAAGGGTGTTAATTTAGAAATATCAATACTCCTACCCTCCTGGTGAATTATGTAGAGACAGAATGAAATCAGAGCTGCTCAACGATCTGATAGTTTATGGTTTCATTTACCACCACGTATGTCTCACAGGCGTATACTCAGAAGGTTTTTGCATTTCTGCCAGAAAGATTGCTGCCTAAATACTCACTCACTGAAATTTATATTCAGAGGGAGAAAGCTTCTGAAGTCAAGGTCACCTAATCAAAGAGGGATTCAGTCAGTTCAATTCAGTTCAGTTGTGTCCGACTCTTTGCGACCCCATGAATTGCAGCACGCCAGGCCTCCCTGTCCATCACCAACTCCTGGAGTTTACCCAAACTCATGCCCATCGAATCGGTTACGCCATCCAGCCATCTCATCCTCTGTTGTCCCCTTCTCCTCCTGCCCCCAATCCCTCCCAGCATCAGGGTCTTTTCCAGTGAGTCAGCCCTTCGCATGAGGTGGCCAAAGTATTGGAGTTTCAGCTTCAGCATCAGTCCATCCAATGAACACCCAGGACTGGGTGTGGGTGGAGAATAAAAGATTAATTGAAATTCCCAGTAACTTTCCAATAATCTTACTACTAAATACAGTTGCCCCCTCTATATCCATGGGTTCCACATTCTAAGATTCAATCAGCCACAGATCAAAAGTATTCAGAAAAAAAAATCCAGAAAGTTCCCAAAAGCAAACTGCGCATGGCAAGTATTTACATAGCATTTACACTGTATTGGGTATTGGAAGTAAATCTTACAAATCGGGATGATTTAAGGTTTTGAGAGGGTGTGCCTAGTGTTTGTATATACTATGCCATTTTATATTGGGGGCTTAAGCATCCGCATGGATTTTGGTATCTGTGGGGGGTCCTGGAACCAATTCCCAGAGAATACCAAGGGCTTGACAAATGTGCTTAGAGGAACCATTCCCTGAGGCTTCCCTACCACGTCCCCCGGAGGACCCTTGCTATTTGATCTCAGAGCGTCCTACTCTGCTCTTTGGTTGCATTATGTCAATTGCAAGTTACTATTTCTTCCTGTGAGGCTCTTTGCAATGCATGTTGCATCCTAGCCGGTAAGCCTTATGAGGGAAGAGCCGTAAATTTCTCATTCATCTTTTGTATCCTAGGACCCAGAACAGCACTTGGTTCTAGGTCATTCATACATTCACAGCAACATTCACAACACATGTCAAATGAAGAATTGGTCCAGCATAACCAGTTTCCATCACTTCTACCTCCTACAGACCATTCTCTGTAAGCCGGCACCACAGGGCCACACGGGGGATGTGTCCCATTCCCCCTTTGCAATGGCTTCTCCTTAAGAGTAAGACCGAAGTCCTCAACTCGGTCCATGGGGCACTGGGCAGTCACGCCCCTTCTCACCTCTTCCTCCTGTCTTGGCTTCTCACCATCAAGCTCCAGACGCAGTGCTTCAATAGTCTGCAGCTCTGCCAGGTCTGGGTCCACTGCATCCGTTGCCCCCTCTGCCCTGGGCACGATCTTGTCCTCTCTTTTCACAGTCTCATCTCCCAGCTGCGAGCCCAGCACCACCTTGGGGAAGCCTTTCCTGACCCCCGTCTGGCCAGGCATCCCGTCCCCGACTCCCACAGAATCCACGCTGCTGCTCTCCTTGAGAGCAAAACCCACAGTTGTTTTACATTTATTTGTGTGCAGTTTGATGACTGTCTGTGTTCCTGCCAGACAGGAAGTTCCATGAAGGCAGGAACTGTGATGATTGATTTCTGCTTACCAGCTAATACTCAGGATTTTTGCTCACAATCAAATATCCAGGCCCTGAGCACTGTGTATGATCAGAACCCAGAAAACATGTATTAAGTGAATCAGTCAATAAAAGGGACACATAGACACACAGACACACAGATACACACACACATACACGCCCCTTCCATCTCTTCCCTGTCTTCCTTCAGGATGAGTACATAAGGCAATAGATCTGATTCTAAAAATAACTTCTCTTGAAGATTCACTAGATTTGAATTTATTGGTTTTAGCCAAGAAACAAGTTCCAACCAGTTGTCTTAGCTTCTCTGCTAATCCATGGTAAAAATTTTCTCATCGACACTACCTCTTGGCAATCTATTTGTTTTGTAAAAAAGACATAAAAGTACCTTGTCTCTATGGAGAGACTTCATTCAAAGTATCCCTTCTTACTACCAAACCAGTAATTAGTGAGCCTTCCCTTTATAACTCAGACTTTACCACGGTTTATCACTTCTGTGTTTAAAACCTCTTCTACGCCCACCCCGCCACATATGGCCACAGCTTGTTTGCAAAGAATGCCGATCATGCTTTCAAACAAAACTGCTCCCATATGCTTGTGATTCATTTCCCCCTTCCTGCCTTTGCTTCATTTGCTTTAGAATTCACGTTTAATTTTGAAACAGTTGCTGTGACGGGAAGTGACTGCGGAGGGGAAGAATCAGGAGACAGAGGTACAGAACTGGGGGACTGAGGGAGAGGGAGGACGGTTACCAGACACACAGCTGGCATCAGAGGCTGCTGGAAAAGCCCCAGAAAGAAGGCCATGCTCCCGCTTGATCCTCCCTTCCAGCTGAAAGTAAGGGGATGGGGAAAACAGAAATGCTGAGGCAGTCTCCTGTTCCGGAACGCACGACAGTTCCATTGTTTACATTACAAGTGAACCAGAGATGTGCTTCAGTTGCTGACCCGGGTGGCATTTGGAAAAGTGGAAAAGCACGCTCTCTCCAGAGAATATTAATGAAACCAAGGAAGGAGTGGGGTGATTGCTTCTTAGAACTCAGCGCTTGACCTTTTAAAGGAGTAAAATGTTTGTAACATAAAACTAACTTGGCATCCCTGGGCAATTTATCCCTTCAACAAATGCTATTCAGCATTCTTTATGTGTCATAGCCTTTGTTAGGAGTTGGGGATACAACAATGAAGAAAAACTAGATATCCCTGACTTCACAGAGCTTACATTTTAACAAGGGGGGTAGACAATTAAACAACCAGGCAAGAATATACCTGTCAGAATTTACTATGGCGAAAGTAAGCAGGAGAAAAGGTCGTGACATGAAATGAGTGAAGTCGTAGGGCTGGTGTTGCGGAAACAAGGGTCAGAAGGACTTCCCGGGTGGCCCAGTGGTTAAGGCAGGGGACGTGGGTCTGATCTCTGGTCGAACTCAGGAACTAAAGGAACTAAGACCCTACATGCTACCAGAGCAACTAAGCCCGTGCACCTCAGCTACTGAAGCCCCGCGCTCTGGAGCCTGCCTGACACAACTAGAGAGAGTCCATGCACCACAAGGAAAGACCAAGCATGCCGCAACCAAGACCAACACATCCAAAATAAATTAAAAAAAAAAAAAGAGTAGTCAGAGAAAGCATCATCTGTCAGGTAAAGAAGTAAGCCTTGTGGCTACAGAGGAGGTGGGGGTGGTAGAGAGCAATCCCAGCAGGTGGGAGAGCAAGTGCAAAGGCCCTGAGGTGGACATGCACGCAGGGCTCTGGAGGAACACCGAGGAAGCTACTGTCACGAATGCAGAGTGCAGGGGATAAAGCCAGATGCCTAAAGGGGCCGAATTCAAGAGAGCTCTGTTGTCTAGTTTGGAAATCAGAGAGGAAAGGAGGAGTCAGTGAAGAAAACTAAGCAGCGGTGGCTACTGTAGCATCTGAAGCTTATACAATGGGTGGGGAGGATTCTAAAGCAAGAGAATACAAAATTACAAATCAAATTATAAAAATGAGGATACATTTAGAATGTGGAGAGAGATGACCTCCAAGTTAAGAATTTTTAAAGCTGGCAGATACCATCCATAACATGGTATTTTTAATTGTTTAACTGCCTGATCCTATCACATTATAAACTTGCTGACTCTGAGCACCTCAAGGGCACAGCACACATACGTGGCTCCTCTGTCCTTGGGATTCTCCAGGCAAGAACACTGGAGAGGGTTGCCATATCCTCCTCCAGGGGATCTTCCCGATCCAGGGATGGGACCCGCGTCTGATGTCTCCTGCACCGGGAGGCAGCTCTTTACCCCTGGCACCACCTGGAAAGGTCCTACATCCCTATAATACTTTCTTCCGTACATTTTTTGGCTGTATACTTTTTGATCAACTTTTCATATTACAATTATCTTCTGTTATTATTTTCTAGAGAGAAAATGGAAAAATAGTCTTCTTTCTAGCATGATTGATCACAGTTTTTAAATTATTTTTCATTTCTATGCATAAAATGCATAAAATTGGTGTCTTTACACACAGACTACCATGCTGTTTCCCGTCGTGGTAGAAATTTGAGTTCCACAAACACAATTTAATCTGTTAAATTTGATTTCAAGCAATTCTTTATTTTTAATTTAAAATATACAGTACGTTATTATTGCATTCTCCTATATTCCTGATGAGAGAACTGCCATTTAGTTAAGGTATCAAAGAATTGAATTTCACAGAAAGAGCATATTGCTTTACACATTTGATGATAAGAAGAATTTTCCACAGACTGCTTTTGAAGCTTTGTTTCTCTTTCACTCCCACCTACTTCTGGTGCTATAAACCAGAGCAAAGATTCACGGGGACTGTGATTCAATTTCTTTTGTCTTGATGCCAGTTACCTCAGCACACCAGGCATTAGAAGTATTTCTCAAAGCCATTCCTACTCTGGAGGAAAAGAAAAAACTCAACTGTACACACAATAAACGACAGCAAAAACACATAAATACATCCCACAAAACCCGAACTAAAGGTGTCGCCAACTCAACCCGATCTTAGCTCCATCTCTAAAATGTCTGGAGTCATCAGAATGCCTACAGCCATTCCAACATTCCAACATCATCTGACAAAAGGGGAAATATTAGACTTTCTAACACAGAAACATTCAAGCATACAAAAACAAACCGATTAGTATAATAAATAAATTCAATAATTACTGACTCATGGTTGATCTTGTTTCAGCAATATTTACCTGCTTTCCTCCTTGAACTGGTTTGAAGAATTCTAGATATCACAACATTTCATCTACAAAAATTTCAAAATGTACTTCTAAAAATATAAGGATTCTTTAAAAATGACATAATCCTACTACAAAAAATTAATAATTACTCCCTTGTATCATATATTGGGTTCAAATTTTCATCTCATGAGATGCTGTATATTTATTTTTTCTTGTTATTTATCTGGGGCATGAGATTATTTGTCCTACAGCATCTGCCTCAGTCTGTATTTTTCCAACCACATTCCTATGGTATCATGTGTTTATCGTGTCTTCCTGTCTTCTGTACTCCTCTTCATTGAGAGTGGATCCAGAAGCTGTATGAGATTCTGGTTTGACATTTTCTGGTAAGAACACTTCAAACGGTGGTGTTAGAGGCTCTTAACCACTTGGTTGTTTCTTGCTTTTTGAGGTTCGCAGCTGTGGATGATCAATGCTGCCTTAGGACAAAGTTCCCAAAATAGGCCCGAAGAGAGGGATTATGTCAAAGCACCTTGGGAGACCAGCCTGGTGCCCTGGGAGACAGTAAGCTGTGAGGGAAGCAGAACCAGAAGGAGAGAAAACCAAAGAACGGTGTGATTGGGAAGCTGAGCGGTGCAGGCAGCACGCGACGCTGCGCCGACTCAGTGCCAGGGGCTGGGTTTTCCCACGACTCCTCTTTCCAGTGAGCGGTCAGGACTTGCTTGGCCACGGGACTGAGGGGGTGAAGGGGGCTCTCCAGAGGAGAGAGGACACCGAAAGGCTGTCCATGTGTTGGAAGGACATCTCTATGGCTCTTACAGTCCTAAGTCTTCAGCACCCTGTGGCCTATGCCTGAGGAAGGTCGATACGATGGTACACACCTCCTCCCACAAGCGAGCACAAGGGCCGTTGTTTCTAAGCAGACCTTCCAGGATGCCCTGTGAACAAGCTCACTCCAGCGACGCAAACAGCACAGCACAGCAGAGCACGAGCTCCAGCACATCAGCATCTCCTCTTCACATTGCCCGCTTCAGAAACCAGCGCCCGACTCTGGAGAGGCGGGAGCACGCTAGTGCCTCAAATCTAGCCTTATAAGTATCAGCACCGTCGTTTATTTCCTAAGACATCGCCATCTGTAAAACCGAGGTATTTCGCTTTGTGTGTGCGTGTGTAAGAAATTCATCCATCTGTACGAAAAGTTCAGTGCGGAATTCTTCTCTTGGGAAGGCCAAACCCCTTGTCATCTCCCAGCATTTGTGCCCATGGACCATATCTCGGGGACTCTCTGCCCCGTGAATGGACACTGTGTGCTCCTAACTAAGGTCAAAACACAGTAAGAAGCAAAAGCATGGATGATGATGTGGAGTTACCAAGGGCCCTGGCTACTCATCTTCTAACAAGAAAACCTCCAGTTCATTTAACTCACCTGTCTCTCGCCAAGTTGTGGCTTTTGCCAAATTCTGACAGTTTTCCCTTCACGGTTTCTCAACTCTGTCCCTTCCCTTTCACTGTCTTTTTTCAGAGTCAGAGTTGTTCCAAGGAAATGCAAAATGTGGCTAAAACTAATAGCCAGACAAACTTGGAGAAGAATAAGCGAGGTCTCAGAACAACAGAACCTGGAGAGGGAGGAGGGAGAGGAAGGGAAGCCAGTGCAAGTCTTGCCTTGGACTGTGGGGCAGCAGGAACTGAGGGAGGGAGAACTGAGCTAGTGGATGAATGGATGTGTTAACAGTAACCTCAGTTCCTTTGTTTGACCAG